AATGGATATGTCTGGAGCCATGTCCATTGGTGGTTTGGCCGTATATAATAACAATGATTTTAATGATTCCGATACCGACAGTGACAAGCTCGATGAARTACTCAAACCCGATGACAATCTTGTATTAGTAGGAAATGTTAAAAAAACAGAATGCTCGCTAGAAGTTTATGTTTATAACGATAATGACAAAGATTTTTAYATTCATCACGACATTATTTTGAAACATCCACCTTTATGCTTGGAATGGTTTGGTTCCGTTGGAAATTTCTGTGCTTTGGGATCCATGTCTGCCATGATAGAAGTATGGGATTTAGATTTGATTGGATGTTTGGAACCCACATATAGGTAACTATTAAAACACATAACTAAACAAAATAAAATATTTAACATTTGATTTGCATTTAGAATGARTTAAAATAATAGAAGTGTTTCATTTGCATTTGCAGATTGGGTAGAAAAAAGAAAAAAAATCCTGAAAAAAATTACGGTCATACTGATGCTATCTTAGATATATCATGGAATGAACATCTACCTCATATACTTGCCAGTGGTTCAGTAGACGAGACAACGTTACTTTGGGATTTAGAAACAAATGAACCTCATACAAGAATGGAAAATTTTGGAGATCACGTTCAATCAATTAAATGGCATCCATTTGAATCACAGACACTTGCTGTTGGGTCTTCAAATTTCTATGTTTATGATTGTCGCACTTATGATACTTATAAAAATTGGAATGTCAAAGGTAAAGTAGAAAAAGTTCATTGGGATCCATCCAATGGATTCTTGTGTTACATTGGTACTGATAGAGGCCAACTCATTTGCTATGATTGTCGAGCTAAAAAACCTCTATGGAAGTATAAAGGTCATGAGAATGAAGTCACTGGAATTTATGTCTGGGAGAAATTTATTGTTAGTTCGTCAACAGACGAAACCTTAAAGGTATGGGATAGAGAAAGTAAACACTTAATTAAAATTAGAGAATTTTCTGGTGCTTTGCATAGTTTAGATGGAAGTACTGATAACCCATCTTTAGTGGCTGTTGGTGGAAGTGGTACATCTAAGTTTCAATTATTTGATATTAATGATTTTAGTTTAAAAACATGTTAATTTTAATAAACTACATTTTTCTAATGAATTTTGTCAATGTTGTTCATTAATTAAAAATTGTTTGATTGCTTCTTATGTTRTCTCCGGGCAATGATACAAATTGGTCATAATCTCATAATCCATTTGCTTATCTAGCATAGATAGTTATATAGATTGTWATCTAGCTAATACCATAGAACATAATTATATTCTATGCTAATACCACAGATGTACTGATATGTGCTAATACTAAACTGTAAACATG